TTTGGAGCCGGTCATGATCTCAGGGTCCTGGGATCGAACCCACATCAGGCTCCGCACTCAGCGTCGAGTCTGCTTCTCCCTCTGCCTCTGTGATCCCTCTCCCTCTGGGATTGTTTTCGCTCTCTCTAAAATAAATAAAATCTTTTAAAAATGTTAAAAATAAAAATGTCATGACAGTTGTCTTTAAATTTTTTTAAAGGACTGTCACGTGGAAGAGGGATTAGAATTTTTTTTTCCCTTTGCCTCTTTTCAAAACAGTAGAAATTAAAAGGAGGAAATTTCAGCTCAGTATGAAAAATAACTTTCTGCTAAACGTACATTCTGAATGCCATCTTTAGAGAGGTATCTACTAAGAAATTGCGCAGAATCCTCTCTAGGATCTTGTGGCTCATTCCTGTCTTTATGCACCTCCCAACTTTGAACTACCCAGATTACAGTGTCCACGAAGGCTAAGTCCATTTGCTGTGTTTTCTTTTTTTCACCAGTAGCAGTGGTCCAGTGCCCTGAACAGAGTAGGGTCTTAAACATTTTTTTAAAGATTTTTTTATTTATTTGACAGAGACAGCAAGAGAGGGAATTCAAGCAGGAGGAGTGGGAGAGGGAGAAGCAGACTTGCCACTGAGTGGGGAGCCCAATGTGGGACTTGATCCCAGGACCCTGGAACCATGACCTGAGCCAAAGGCAAACACTTAAGGACTGAGCCACCCAGGCACCCCAATAAACGTTTATTAAACATATGAATGTTGAATTTACTTTTCTAGAGGAAACCAAATGTTGTGTCTGCAATGCAGAGTGAAAGTAGACTTCTGTACCAATTCAGATTTACTCTTGATTTTATTTAAAACATAGCCATTGAGCTAAGAACTAGTTATTTGCTTTAAGTTATCTGATTATTATAATTGATTTTTTTAAAGATTTATTTATTTATTTATTTATTTATTTATTTATTTGAGAGAGAGAGCACACATGCAGGGGAAGGGGCAGAGAGAAAATCTCAAACAGACTCTCCACTGAGTGGGGACCCCCCAGCACAAGGTCAGTCCTACCATGCCGAGATCATGACATGACCCCAGCCAAAGCCAAGAGTCAGGTGCTCAACCCACTGAGCCACCCAGCATCCGTGATTATTATAATATCTAACTGATCTTCTCACCTGTCTTAAAGGCAGTTATGTAAAAATGCACCCACACACCTGGAGCCTCACTCCATTTCTTCACACCTTCTAGAGAGCTGCCCGCAGATCCTCTTCTCCCCACTCCTCATCCACCTTTGTAAGACCGCCCAAGCGTTCAGCCCCAATGGACCGTGGCATGGCCTGGCTGTCCATTTCGCTCCAGCCATCACTGCTATCCACTGATCGCCATGGCTAATCAGATGGTACGACAGTCTGCACCAGTCATTAAGATGACCCAAATTAACAGCCTGGCCGTGTCACAGTACATTCATTCCACATACACAGACATGGCCTAAGTGTGAGGCAGAAACTTGGATGTGCTTATTTGTGTTTGCGTTGTTACATGCATTATTGATTGTCATGAGCTGCTTCAACGCTTTAAATCTGCAAATGAGAATCATCTGTCAATTATTACAGCCAGAATGGAGATCTGAGGGCAAGAGAGAAAGAGTACATGACTTTTCCTACCAGCATATCCTTTCATTTGCAATTTTCCTTCACAGTTACATGGTAAAACGTCTTAGCTCAACACATTCCCCAGCTTTTTGCTTAGAAGGGATACTTAATGAGAATATTTTTAGATCCGGAGAAGAAAAACAGATCCCTCCTAGCCAGGTGAAGGAGGTAGTTCAGACCCTGAATTGTAAGTTCATCGTGGGAATGCTAGAATCCAATTTTCTACTGTATACCAGTTAGTAAAGCTCAGCTCTTAATAAAACACAGGCAGCCTTATCTTAATCGCAATCGCAATTGCTGGCACCTTGTGGTGCCTGGTGTAAATTATCCCCAAAATATTTGCATTCTCAATAGCCATTTCTCTACAATGCTTTAATAAGTAGAGGGTCCTATTACCTGCTAAATGTTAGTATAAATTAACAATCCATTATGCACAATAAGTTTTATAAAACATTTACAGATAGAGATCATGTTTAATTAAAATTAACTTGCATATGAAAGCCAAGTGCACTAATGATCACAATGACCTTTTATTACCTACAGTCCCTTGTTTTGGCTGGATGATTGACAGCTTGCTGTTTGGCTACCATGTTGAATTTCAGCTGACAAGACTTTTCATTTTAACTCAATTTGCCCGCCTATCACAAGCTGGTGGCAGGCCAGACCCAAGTCACCCAGCTTTGCCTCAGCAGCTTGCTCTACTTCTCATTAGTACGCATTTATTCAGTGGAAATTGGAAGACAAATGCTTGAAGGCATGTGAACTAAGTATAGCAAATTAGGTTTAAAGACTGAATATTTATAAGTATATGGAAAGTTTTTTTTTTTTTTAAATTCTAGAGCGAATTGAGAACTGAGTGCTAGCTTTGGTATAAAAGAAATGAAGATAGCAGGGGGAAGGAAGATTCTAAGAATAACAATACTATAAGCTTTTTCTTTCCATTTTGGAAATATGTAAAATCTCTCTGACAACACCTTATCAACTACCAACCTGGCCTCTCTTTCGTGGAGTGCTTGCACAATGAAGTTTAACACCTCGTGTGTGAGAAGGGGGGAAAAATGAGGGTCATGTTCATTTGTTGCTTGGTTATCCCTTGGTATGTTTTAAATTGCCTTGTTTGTTCGGCACTAGCACAGAAACAGATGTTGCTCTACCGTGCAGGATAATTTACCGTACCTCCTGGTGCAGCATGGAAGTCCTCCCAGGGCCCAGCTGGTCTGTCAGCGGCACTGGCTGGTGTCTGCTCAACTATGACAACTACAAGTAGAGGCTGCAATTTTTTTTATTGTGCAGTTGTCATTCTTCTCAACATAGAGCTCTGCCTGCGTTCTTACTGGGGCTGGTGGAAAAGCTGCTGGCTTTTGTGTCTGTTCTGTTGTAACGCAGAACCACGGAAGCTCCCCTCTCCGTTGTTGATAATAATGCAACTCATTACTTTTGTCATCTAATGATCATCGGCGTGATCGCTCAGAGCGAGAGCCAACCTCGCCTTGCACACATAACTGGTACTGGAAGGTAAAACAGATTTGTCATTTACGATCTGACCGCTAAGCCCCACTTTGTGCTCCATTATTGTGATTAACTTCTGCATAAGAGATGCTTGCCCAATTGTCATTTGCGATCCCGCAGTGGGCGCAAGCTGCCGTGCTTCCCCCGAGCCCCGCCGGCCAATCGGATGGGACTGTGTTGTTCGGACTGGTAAATGCCTGCCCTGTCGCAGAGCCACCCCACAGTGATTTCGTTTTTGTCTCTCTTCTTCCCACACCCCTACTGGACTTGGGGGAACGGCACCGCTACATATGTCAGCTACCGTTTCACACCACAAGCGAAAATGCTGCGGTCCCGCTGTTGACCCAACAGAGCCAGCAGTTGTACATGGGAAACCGACCCTCGCTTTGCACCACAGAGATGTTGGTCACCGGTGTCCTGCCAGCTGAGATCCGTCGTGTCAGTTGCCTTGTGGCTATCTGCAGTGGAGTCCACGTTCCAAAACCGAAGTTCTTTTCTGGCCTCATCACCAACAAGCCGATTTGACTCTGCCTGATTATAATAACGAAGGCAGTCCAAAAGAATATGCACAGCCTCACTGTACGTCACATTGAATCACCACACCGGCCACACAGAGCGGACCGCAGCCTCATTTCTTTAGACAAACGCACGCTGAGGGGGAAATGTCCTGGGAGAAGGCACCCAAAGCTACTTGTGCAAGCTGGGCGTAGATTTACATTTTAGTGAAATAGCATTCATTTTTCTTTTTTGGCTGATGCAAGCCCTCACTGACCAGTGCCCTGCTCTACTCTAATAACTGAGCACGCTATGTTTCTGAGCTTTGCTGAACACTAAGAAATTGGGGTGTGTGTGTGTGTGAGAGAGAGAGAGAGATTCTAAATTGCAAGCCATAAACACAACCATTTGTTACCATGTGAAAGGAGGAAAGCGCTCAATTTGGAGCTCTTTTTCACGTTGCTGATTAGAAAGAATCAAGCTTTATATTCTAGGACCCATTCAGGCTGGTGAAAACATAGTCAGTTTTGATTATGAAGGCAGAGATGCAGACCTAGACAGGAGCTACATGCTGATATGCATGCTATCAGAATGATTTATGCAAATTATGCATATTATTCCCAAAGGAATTCCTCCTCAAACTGCCAGGATAAATTGCCGGAAATTAGCCATAAAATCTGTCGTGCTAGGAGCAAAAGGTGAAGGCCACTGGGAAAGCAAGGACATTCAGCTTCTGGAATCTTCCAGGTTATGATGGTGGCTGTTATTTTCCCTGGATGCTGAGGAAGAGACGGTTTTCTTCTGAATCCCATGCAAGTCTTTTATCTTTGAAATTTTTCCAACAAAAGCTGACCCACATTTTATTTACAGCTAGCAAAAAAGAAATTAAGTGTTAAGCCACCGCAGAAAGCACTACTACAATTACTTTACTATTAACTGCCTAAGTGATTATTAAATGCTTGAGCCTGGCTTTAAAGATGTAGCTATTCTGAAGGGTGGAGAAAAAACCCACCAGCAGTGTTCTTCGGCTGGGAGATGGTTTTAATGTCCAATGGATATACCTATCACACAGCATTTTTCTCTTGCCAACCTTTCCTTCCTACAAAAACCCTAGCTACTGACTTTCTGCCCAAGTACAGCACCGCAGGCTTCTGTCTGTGACGGGCCGTCCCAGCTGTCTCCCCCACCTCCTCCTTGCTATGATGATCCAAGACCACCATGACTCCCCCTTGGTGTTCAATGGATCTGATTAAGAAAGAGTTCCCTTTTCAATCAAAGCTATTGGTAATGAGCTTAATGGCAAATTGAGAGCACTGTTCCAGAGCAGTCATATTTTAATAAGCTGTTACTTGCTTGTGTCCTTCAGAAAGCACCGTTCTCGAGGTTTTACGACTATGCTCATTTTCAAGCATCATTCGTTTTGTTCAAGAGGACTTGACTCTACATTCAGAGACGCAAGACTACTGTTTGCGGAAGGGGGACTTGGTAGCCATCTTTCCTCCAGCCATACATTATGACCCGGAGGTCTTTGAGGCTCCAGAGGTAAACAAGCATCAAGCGGTCGTGGCTCCTTCTTAGATAACTGTGAGAACATTCCTCTTCCTCACACTATCTTTCCATAGCTTCCTTTTGCCACCTTGTTCCAGGAGGAATTTGAGATGGATTGATGGCTTATGTCCTGCCTTCCTGTGGGAAAATTTTCCTACTTACTGAAGTGTTTCCTAAGGATCTTTTTCCTACTTACTGAAGTGTTTCCTAAGGATCTCTCTCCAAAGGTTTTGTGGTCTGTAAATAGAAATATAATGATGAGACTGGATGCTGACTTCTTCAAATGAAAGGCATTGTACCTTGGCCATCATTAGCTTTAGGCCAAAAATAGGTTGTGCTTGGCAGAGATTGTTGAAAACCGTGGAGGGCTAGCTATTGGTGGGTGGCTCAGAGAATAAATAAGGATGACTGTTTTGCTAAGTGTTTCTAGAATGGGGTTGACTGTCCCCAGATCAAATGCCATCATTGCTGTACTTAAGCCCATATACTTTTTCACCACTTACCACAGGTATATGCCCCTTTTTGATCAGTCAGAATGGCAACCCGAGATTGTAAAGCTGCTGCTCCCGGGTGAAGCTCTGAGGGTAATTGTGTCATCTCCTTGTATTTTTTTCTGAAGCTGGAGTTAATGAATATCAAAGACTGGAAATTAATCCACCCTGGCTCATCCCTTAATACCACTTCAGAGGTTCACCACCTGCATGCAAATTGAATGCAGTCATAGTCTGCCTGAGTGTCTCATGAAGTAGTGTTGTTGTTATAGTGGTTTTTGTATAGAAAACGCTATTTTTCAAAGGTAAACTACGTTGCTCTTTTTGAGCAGTTCATAGCAGGATCACTTTTAAAGCATTTCTAAGTCAGATGGTTTGCAGCCAGGCTAGATTAAAATAGTTTTGAATTTTGGAAATTAATAAGAAGAGGAGAGACTCCAAATGCAATGAGATAACTTACATCTATTGCACCAGCAAAGGCAAATTTTTTCAAGTGAGGGGGAAAGTATACATATGTTTCCTCTGTGTTTCAGAAGAAGAGACGTTATATGTAGGTGACAGCAAATCAGAAGTAGGGTATTAGTGAGTGCATGAAAATTCTGCAGACAACTGGCTTTGTCTCCACATTTATAAATATAAAAAAAAAATTCCACACATACATATTCAATAAATGGGGCAGATAATAACTAATATTTGAAAAATATCTAAAATTTTAACTTTTATTTTTATCTATAATTTTTAAATTTAACTTCTATTTATTATTTTCATTATGTGACTACTCCATTACTCATTAAGTTTACCATTCATATCATGATGGCAGAATCAACATTAAAGTTATCAGCAATACATGTTATCAGTTATCAAGTTATCAGCACGATACATGTTTACCAAATTACCTCTATTTTTGCGGTACTGTTCTTTGGTCCCCAAAATTAACTAGGTAATTTTTTTTGCCAATGTTGTCTTCCCTAAATTAGTTGTGGAATGATGATCATTATCGGCCCAGAAAAATATGGCATGGTTCAGAATCATTTTTATATGATTTAGCAAGGACTTACATAAACATTCATTCTATAAACATTTACTGAGTACCTACCGCTATCAGGCAGATAGCTTTATTCCTGTGATTTTTATCAACGTAGAATGACAATAAGTAGATGCCATAGATGCTCATAGAATGGATGCCCATCTGAAGCCACCATCCCTTGACAGTAAAAAAAGAGAAGGAAATCCTGGGAAATTCTGTCCTGGGCCATCTGTCCCTGAGAGCATTGACCCAGAAGCTCTTCAGAAGCTCATATTCCCCACTGCCTATGTTTTGTGCCCTATAGATCTTGAATGGAAAGACCAGGCCTTAGATACAGAAAACAGACAGTAGCTCTGAGTCCAGAAATTTGAGGAAGACTAGATCCAGATGTAAGTATAGGCCTTCTTTGAAGACACAGAGACTGAAGAACCTTCACAGAACATAGGTTCTCCCAACCCAATGATGCATGATTTCAGGATGTTCAAGCCCAAGAGACTCTAGAATATGACATTCCAAAAAGAGTCCATGGTCTTCCTTCACACAACTCTCTATTCCTAGAATTTTCCTTCTTGTCCACTCAAGAGGTTCCAGATTACTCCACAAGAATCATCCTTCATCACTCTTCTTTGGCAGTGTTCCTGATTCCCACATCGTTCCTCAGAGAATTGGCCATTGCCAACTCTGTGTCCTGTTGGACCTATGTTACACTGCAAAGCACCTGCTGCTTTCCAATTACTTGTTTGTTTGTCTGTGTTCCCATATGCTGAAAGCTCCAGAAGGGGTAAGACCACATCACTCACTGTCTTCTCTGCATTCTCAGTGCCCAGCACAGGAGGCTGTCCACAAGGCAAATAAATAAGGCGTTGCTGGAATGGATGAATGCTCTGAAAGTGAAAATACACTTCAATTAGAATTTTAAATTACCACCAATATTGCATATTCAAATATGTACTGGGCCTAACTAGAACAAATGGATGAAATGGCTTGTGTATAAATGTAGCAATACTATCAGGAGTGGTAAAAACTATGGGGAAAGGAGAGCCCAGAGCTATCTAAGTAAGACCATTTGGTTACTTATGAATTAGCCTTCAGCTCTTAAAAGCATGTAGGCCTAGCATGGCTGAGTCATTTAAAAAAAAAAAAAAAAAACTCAGAAAACAGATTTTGGGGTAAACTTCAGAATTTTTAAAGGTTTGGGAAAATAATGTTTAAAAACACAAAAATGGGCTAAGCAAAAAGTGTTTGGGGACCTAACTGGGTCTATAAGCTATCAACATGTAACTTCTGTGTAAAGAATTATTATTTTCCTGAATATCGGGTGCTTAGTTTATTGTGATATTAACCACTTAGGTGGTTCTTGCCTACACGGGAAATAAATTGGCAGCTGAAATTGAAGACAATGAGAGCGCGCAGGAAACACCCTTCTCAGTTTTCCTTTCCCTCTTTTTTTTTTTTTTTTTTGGTCTAAATGCTATTCAAAAAAGCCTAGATAATTTAACTAGGAATAGATAGCTTTTGAAATTTTTCTGAAGCCTTCCTCAAATTTACATCTATTATTAGCCAGAATTCAAGCATCTGGCGCTCAAATAATTGGTAAATAGTGATGATTTCCTTTCTGCCAAAATGCAGCATCCTGACCTGGAGCTATGGAGAGGAGCAAATCTGTTGGTTGGTTTTTCTGTGACCAGACAAGTTAAGGTACAAAGGGAAGCCTGGAAACACCATGGAGCCATAGGGAAGAAACAGCAAACTTTTAAGGTGGTAACGCTTTAACACAGCCAAGTAGCCTTCTAAAGTAAGGACACAGGGAAACAAGAAAGTAATTACAAAGCCATTGGAGCGGAGCGCTCCCAAAAGCTCTGAAAGTGAAAGACCTTATTTGACCTCATGCAAGTCTGCCCTATCTAACTTCTCAGCCGTGTAGGGATTCTAAAATGATAAAATGAATTTGAAAGCCCTTGAATAAATTCTAAATCACTATTAAAAACTGTTGTAGCAATATTATTCTGATTATTGTCACTGCTCTACAAATATGCTCATCATAACAAATGAGGAAATACTCTACTTTTTTGTCTGTACCTCAAATTGGAAGAGATAATGCCACCAGTCTACTTCAAGGAAACAAATATATACTGAGCATCTGTTATCCAGAAAGCATTTTGATAGGCATAATGGCGAGGGGGTGGTGGCACAGAAATTTAAAAGACCCTTGTCTTTAAGAGCTTAGAGTTTAGGGAATTGGTCTTATCACATGGCTATGTTCTCAGGGCTAAGTGCTTTTTGTTGAGAGGGTTTCTGCCACACCAGTAAATTGGCCTTCATACTCATTCTGTTGGAACCATCAGTGTGCTGGTAAAACGGCCCTCTGAGAAGCCCTGATTTTGTCAATTTTTGTGGCTTAAATATCCCACGTGGCTGATTTCATGTGACTACTGTGAAAACTCTAAACGCAGAGTTGGGAGGAGATGGGCACGCTCTCTCCTGCTAGTACAAATGAATTGGAACTTAAGTCATGCAGATAGAAAGGAACCCTGTCATCTTGCTCCCAGGAGGGCTGATTGTGTACCCAAAGGCAAGAGCGCTGCCCCTTAGTCGTCCATTCAAAACACTGACAGTCTTATTTTAAGAAGTCCGTATATTCTCGAATCTGGATTCCTACACCCCAAATGATAATTGAGTGAATCCAAACCCTGATTAAATTGTATGTCACCTACCTCAGCAAGACTTCGTTTTAATGCCTTTTTAACTTCAATGTTTGTCATACAGGAAGTCTTGAAACAAATCTCTTAAACTGAACTAAAGACAATATTCGGAGCACACAAATTAGGGTGTTCAATCCTCCTCAGTCACTTGTACCAAAACTCTTTTCTATCCAGAAAATTGTATCATGTATCCAATCTTGATTTCTCATGCTAAATATTATACCATTCTCTATTTATGAACGCTGAATATTCATCCATGCTTCATTCTCTACATGTTTATTTACCCATTCAATATCTGTGTTTTCTCCAGAAGCCTGAAGATTGCTTTTAAAATATACTTTATTGTCATGTATTTATGCATTAATTCAACAAATGTATATGGAACCTCTACTATGTACACAGCACTATGTTGGGTGCTTTGAAAATACAGAGATAAATAAGACAATGTGACAACTCCAATCTCCTGGGATTTCTTGGCTCTGCCATCTCCTGTGGGTTTAGCTCCCTCTTCAACCTGGAGGCCATTGCTGTTGCAGGCACCAGACTCACAAATAACTAGGTCCAGAGGAGAAGGGATTAAGCATATGTTTGTTTGTTTTTCTTTCTTCACAAGAAAGGAACTTCTATCAGATGTCGTCACAGATGTTTCCTCTGTAGCAGTGACGAAATTGGGTCACATACCCTATCCTCAATCAGTCAGAGGCCAGGGCAGCGTGATTACTGTGGTGGGTGCCTAGACAAACCTCAGCAGAAGAAAGATGTTCAGAAGTCAACCACAAGAATTATGAGAGGGGTGATGTGGAATTACAGTGTCATGCCCTTTCTTTCATGAATTCTCTATTCTCATCCACTTACTATTATGGCATTTAATTGACCATTTTTAGTTTTGAAGTGTTGAGCTGTGAGGGTGACTGCAAAGAGTTTATGTCAACATGATGAGTCCTGCATTTAAATTGTTCCAAATGAATGTGTGCATCTTGAGATCCTAACACTTTATTCTAGTCACTATGACCCCAGAATCTTACAGGTGAGACTACCATATTCCTTATCTTTTTGGCAAAAACCAAACCATCTCCCTAGCCTCTGCCACAGGCCTGTCCTAATATTGGTTTCTGCTCTGGCTCTGCATGCCCTGACTATGGAAAACAAACTGAAAATAAATTTTGACTCAAAAAATATATTTATGCCCATGTGCCCTTTGAGCTTGATGGTAGTAACAGAGCAAAAGAAGTTGGCTTTCCTCTTCTTGTTTCTTAATATAAACAACTAAGTAGGAATTTCTAAGACGTTTACTATAAGGAAACGGAATCAAAGCTGGTGGAAAACCAGAGGAGAGACATTGCTGAATGAGTAGAAATTTGAGGGAATTGACTGTGAACACTACCTGGAGGTCACAGGGTTGGGGGGCGTCATGCATTTATCCCACTGGCCTCTCAGAGAGCAGCACATTCACTTTGACGAAGAACAAGGCAGCCATGAAATAAAGCAGTTGTTGGCTTATTTATGAAATCGGGACACTATGAAGTCATAACCCAAGTCAAGTTTTCATTTTGTACTTCCTGACTTAAAGAGTGTGGCTACAGTGAGATCTTTTCCCAACAAATCATTTCATGAGTTAGTTAACGTGAACTGACTGGGCTATGTGAGGAGCTCCTGTCGAGTGTTCTCTCCTCAGATTAGCCAGTGAGAAGGAGGAAGGAGCAGTCCTACACTCAGGCAAGCAGGCTTGGGCCCCAGTCATGGAAAAGGTCATGAAGAGAGAGTACCATATTGTACTATATCTCCAGTAATACAGTGCATGTCAACAGAGTGTCCTTGTTCATTGCTATGGGGAGGCACGGATATTTTTAGTTTAGCACTAGTTAGATCCTATTCAGATACATCCCAGAACTGTCTGTGAGGAGGAAAATTACTTGTGTTCTAATGCAGATTAATTTGGCCTTAATGATTTCACCAACTTGCAAGTTGGACGGGAATGGAAACCACCCAAAGTGTGCCTTCCAAGCATGAATATTTATCAAAATAGGTGCCTAGGTAAAAGAAGACAAGACCAGTACCTTTAAAGGAAATTATTTCAATGGCATTCACATTGAGTGGGAAAATTAGGTCATCTGTGACGGATTTGGAAGCTGTCCACCGATTGTAAGGTTTTCACTATAACATGAAATGCTTGCAGTCTGACCTGCTTCTTTGCCTCTGACTTCATGTAGTTCATATCAAACTTGTGTGCTGAGCAGATCTAATGCTAATGAGCACCAAGTATAGGAAATACTTGGTCATTTTCATGCATGCCACGTGCATTAATTTAATCAATGGCTTAATTCACCATGGGCTGAAATAAGGTCACTCAGTTTCTTCACAGAAACTCAAGTGAGAGTAAATTAATGCCAGGCTAAACACCCTGGATAAACCAGTCCCATAATTTTCTGTAACAAGTAATGTAACTTATTTATGAAAACATATTGGAAATACCTGCCACCCTAAAGTTAACCCAAAGAGAGTCCATTGTAATAGCACCATGCTAGGAGAAATTCAGTACATCAAAAAACAAGCAAGATGGGTTTTGTGGTTTAGTTCCTCTCTAGGGCTTCATGTGAATTTCAAATTTCATTTTATGTCTATTTAACCCAATCATAAGCACTGAATCTTAGGTTGAAGTCCTCATCCATCAGGAACTGACTGGGAAGGAGTAGAAAAGGCATATTAGGCAGCTACTGGGGCCCAAGACATTCGTATCCCATCGTAACAATGGTGGCAGTGCCCTTACCTTCTACCCAACGTCCGTCCACCAAGTGGGACCATCTTAGGGAACAAAACTAAAGAGACTACCTCTTCACTTAGGAAACAGCATAAGAGAGAGGTGCGAATTAGGAAGAAGAGTCATATAGGTATGTGCTTTTCACGATGATAAGGGAGAAGTCATTTCCTAGGAGCATTGGAGTTTTTTTGAAAGTTCATTAATAATTTGCACCTAGTCAAGTTTTACTCTCTGGCATTTGCAGAATTAAAAGGAGCCTTTTTAGATGGGCAGAGAGAACGGGCCACGTTGTGGACCTGACCTCAAACTATTTCATGTAAATTTTGCACTTTAACACTCCTTGTCTCTTCTCTGCAGGAGTTTAGATTCGATCGTTTTGTAGAAGACGGTAAAAAGAAAACTGCCTTTTTCAAAAACGGGAAGAAGCTGAAGTATTACCTGCTGCCGTTTGGATTTGGGGCCAGCAAGTGTCCAGGCCGATTTTTGGCAATTGTTGAAGTAAAGCAGTTGTTGGTTATACTTTTAACTTACTTTGATTTAGAAATAATTGATGATAAACCTATGGAAGCAAACTATAGTCGACTTTTATTTGGCATTCAGCATCCGGCTTCTGATGTTTTATTCAGGTACAAAGTAAAATCTTAGAGAAGCAAAAAAGAAAGAAAAGAAATGTATCCGAACTCATCTAAATGTCCGTGGCTCATCTATTTGTTATGAATTTCTGCAAACATAATTGCTTTGTTTGTTTGTTTGTTTTTTAAAGAAAGTGCAAATTTACATTTGATCGGCAATCAGTCCCGTTCGTACCTGGTCACAAAACCCATCATAAACTAAAATAGGATGTTGACATGAAAATAGACATCAAAATCAGCATAATGATAAAATAGCTTTTTTTATGTTTTTCTACATATTGTGATGTTCTCTCGTCATGGTAAATGTACCACAATAAATTTGGCTCCGTGGGAATTTTTTTTTAAGTCACTCAGATTCTTCTCTAATACGTAAAATCACACTTTATGTACTAGTGGAAATTTGTGCTGAAAATGGACACAGTCTAACAAATTCCAAATTCTCAGAGAAGAAGGAAATTAAATTTTCATGAGATAAACTGGATGAAAATGTTCCCTTCAAGTGTAATATCAATAATGTCTATACCGCCTGGGTACGTTTGCCTTAAATGAGTTTTGCAGTTTAAATGCTCCAACTTCACTTCAATATTTAATCATCCATAAGTGTTCTTTATTATTTTGTATACTAAGGCTCAATGCAACAAAATTTCTTGTTATGTAAGAGCACTCACGTTGAGTTAGATACTGAGAAGATTTAATGTATAAGAACACACAAAACCTATTACATATTCAACATTTGCCTGAGACCTTGGTATTTGGTTTGTTAAGAGCAAATGTTAAAATCATGACAGGATTGATGGTAGCACTTGGTTTTAGTGTAAACTCTGAGGATTATGCCAGTATTGCAGTGAACTCTTTCCTAAATGCTTCCATTTATATAAACTGAGAAATCAGATCGCAGTATTTGTTCTTGACACATCACCTTTCGGACTTGGAGTTGATCTGTATTCTTTGGAGTTACACCATTATGGAATGCAGTATAATTTTAAATCCCACAATGCAGCATTGTGTCCATAATTCAGAGCTTTCTAATTTCACCTTACCAGGTGGTTATTTGGCATCTGACCTAAATGATGCCCCTGTACTTAAACAGGAAAAGCAGGTAATAAAATTCAGTTAATTTGCATCGCGTGGATTGGAACTTCTACTATTTCAGTGTTGCACTACTGTTTTTAAAAAGGAGATTGATTTTTAGAGTAACATTATAAAATACTTACAATACTTACTAATCAATAGATGCTCTAGGATTTATAGTCTCCTTCTTGAAGTACATGCTCTAAACCTTTCTTAGTGGGGCTCTGCTAGCTAAGCTCTGCTCTGGTTGATTGGAGATGTCTTTATTTTTGCCTTCATTCTTGACAGATGATTTTGCTGTGTGCACAAATCTATTTCCTCCCAGCCCTCTGAAGATACTGCATGTTCTTATGTCTTCCATCATTGCTGTAAAGAGGTTAGCCGTTACTTTAATTATTCAGAAGGCAGTCTGCCTCTTCTCTCTGATAGGGTTAATGTGTTCTTTTTGTCTTTGATGTTCTTAGTCTCAGTTTCTCACTCTTGCATGTCACAGTGCCCCTTGAGTCTGAGAATGTGTGTCTTTCATCGGGTAGGAAGTATTCTTAGCCATAATCTTGGAGTAATACCTCTCCCAGACTCTATTAGATCCTCTCTCTCTACACTCCATGTTGTTTGACCTTTCCTCCCCATTTTTTCTACCTCTATTTTATATTCTAGGTCATCTGTTTAGATCTCACTGTCATTTTGTCTCTACACCGTGTACCTAATCTGCTCTTTATCTCATCCATGGAGTTTGTTTCTTTCTTTTTATTTAACTTCATAGCATTGAGTAATCATGCTCCTTATACTTCTTAGTTCATGGTACACAATTATGATTTGTCCCCTCTGCCTTTATCTACTTACTCTATCTTATCCCTAATCTTCACTGTTATACTCCTCTCTGTCATAGGCAAACATTCTATGTGTTTGATATTTATCTTTTCATAAGTATATATTTTTATAGAACATAGTACCTGTGTGCATGTTAATTTACATAAATGAATTTTCTATATAAGAGATCCTTCTTAATTTTCTTATTAAGCTCTATGTTTTTAAAGATATATTCGTATTACTTTATATATATATGTATACACACACACACACATATATATATATATTTAATCTGTTGCTTCTAACTGCTATGCCATAACATGCACCCACCATGTTTTAAATCTCTTCATCCTGTGATAGAAACTGTATCCATCAGATACTTAATTGGGGTTAGAGGCCAAAGCAGGAACAAAAAATCCTCCCACTGCTGTGTCCACCATCTTCTACTCTGGGCTGCTACAAACTCTGTCCTCAACCCCTGTAGTGCGTGTGCACGTGCATGCACGTGCGCACACGCGCACGCATGCGCTCACACCTGCACACACACACACACACACACACACACACACACACACACACACACAGAGTCCGTGACTGCCTGCATTCTCTCTGAGATGTTCTAGATTTGTTATGTTCTATCCTCAGGTCCTTACGACCCTCTCCCTTCTGTGGGTTGATTTTGAGCCAGGGTGCCAGCTGCCAACTTGTCAGCTTTCAGTTTTTCTGATCCCACTGAATGTGCTAAGTTCAATGATTACATTTTCAATTTGAGAACACTCTTTTGTTCTTCCTATCTGGTCATTTTTTTTTTTTTTTTAAGATTTTATTTATTAAGAGAGAAAGAGAGAGCCCAAGCAATGGGGAGAGAGAGAATCAGGCTCCCAGCCGAGCCCAAAGCCCGACATGGGGCTGGCCCCCAGGATCCTGGGACTATGACCTGAGTCGAAGGCAGACACTTAACCAACTGAACCACCCGTGTGCCCACTGCCTGGTCATTTTTTTAAAAAGATTGTATTCATTTATTTATTTGTCAGAGACAGAGAGAACACAAGCAGGCAGAGTGGCAGGCAGAGGCAGAGAGAGAAGCAGGCTTCCTGCCGAGCAAGGAGCCCCATGCAGGACTCCATTCCAGGACTCTGGGATCATGACCTGAGCCAAAGGCAGCAGCTTAACCGACTGAGCCACCCAGGCATCCTGCCTGGTCATTTTTGAAGTCTTTTTTCTTTTTTTTAAGATTTTATTTATTTATTTGACAGAGAGATCACAAGTAAGCAGAGAGGCAGGCGGGGTGGGGAGGGAAGCATCCTCCCTGCTGAGCAGAGAGCCTGGTGCGGGGCTCGATCCTAGGACCCTGAGTTCATGACCTGAGCCGAAGGCAGAGGCTTAACCCACTGAGCCACCCAGGTGCCCCTGGTGTTTTTTTCCTTCATCATATGCTCCATATCCTCTTCCATTTCTTCAAGTATATTAAGAAACCAATTTTATGTTATGTATCTGATATTTCTAAATCATTAGTGTTTTGTGAGTCTGATTCTATAATTTGTCTGTTGAACTCTTACTCAGTGTTGATTGTTTATTGAGCCCATATTCCTTGGAATTTTATTTCTGGAAATTTTTTAAGACCTGAATTTAAAACTCATTCCTTCAGGGAGAAGTTGAGTTTCTTTTGTCAGACTGCTGATGTTATGATCAAACACACATTACTTTAAGTTTGCAGCTTGAGAGGGGATGACGGGTGGGAGATACATAGGTAATGTGGGTTCTGGCCTTAAATTAGCTACAAAGCAGCCCTGTGATTAGGAATAGACAGGAGAGATTTTCTGTTTTGTTTTCCTTCAGCATTACGGAGAGAGGCAGATCTACTCTCAGTTTTGCTCTCTGGAGCAAGGTTTCTTTCTAGTTCACCTACAAGGATGTTCCCTTTGTGAGTTCTGGGCTTTATGAATCAGTCTTGGATTTCACACACACACACATACCCAACCTGGGCCCTAGGCTTTCTCTTCTGCCTGCCACCAAGCATAGCCCATTTTTTGCATACTAGAAGGACATCTAGTCCACCATATGACCTGAAGTAGAAACCTCCATGTTCTTACATTTGTCTCAGTAGTACACTTTTGCAATGTTATAGTAGAGAGAACACAGGAAATTATTCAATTCTAATTTCTGCTTCACTTATAATTAGAAGTGTGTATAAGAATTTAGAATAGAAAGTAAGAATAAACAAAATGGGTGAGAAAGTGTTATATAAAAGGAATGGACAGTAGAACCAAAACAAGAGAGTCTCGTAACAGGCATATATCTAGTCGTTAAAGCGTGTTTGTGAATAGAAAAATATGTCATGGAGAAATAAGTTAAAAGACATGGATTCCAGCAATGGTGTGACTAGTTTGTCATCGACCAGTCATTTTGCCTCTCATTGCTTCAGTTCCCCATTTGCAAATAAAAACAATAAGGCCTTTTTGACATGAAGGTTCATGATAAGGATTAAACATAGTAAGGTATGTGGATTTATTTTGAAAAGTGTAATGCAATACGCAAACAAAGTTGTAACAGATACTTTAACAAGGTTGTGTCTTTTAAAATCTGTTCCTATGTATTTGTTAAAGGGAATAATTTTTTAGTCATTACATAGTTCATTGTTCATTAATTCAATCAAACATTTATGGAGCATTGCCTCTGTTCTAGATATGTTGCTATGCACTGGATTACCCTTCTTCAAAAACACACAATTTATTAGGAAAAACAACACATACACAACTAATCTATTTTAAGTGTCCCTGTAAGTAATAAATTCATCTCTTTAAAACAGTTTTAAAATTCTGATTTACCACTAGATCTAGACTTCCATCAGTCATTCCCAAGCAGTGTTCTGTAATGAGAAATTACTATGTGCATAATTATACACAATAAAACATATACATCGGGTATTGTGATTATGAGACAAAAATAGCCAAACCAAACCTTATTGAGGGTCTAAAATGTCTTAAAAACTATATTTTACATATCATAAAAACCCATCTTTTCATTTTTACAACCTCCCCTAAGTTTCAAGTTAAAGGAAATGAATGATACTGTTGTTTTATGTCAATGACCAACGGTAATGATGCATTCAGTAGCAAAAACTAAATGCTCTGAACATATTAAAAAAAAAAAAAAGCAATTTACCACTAAATAAGGCATGCTGCTAAGCAACCTACATGGGAACATTTATCTGCTTCTTTTGGTTTTCCTGGCACACTTAA